TTTTTTTTTTTTTTTTTTTTTTAATTCCATCCCTTTCTCCTCCTCTGGTCAAGCAGAAAGCCCAAAGGAGAGCTCGGAGCCCACCGGCTCCCCTGCTCCTGTCATCCAGCACAGCTCCGTGACGGCCTCCCCCAACGGGCTCAGCGTCCGCTCGGCGGCCGAAGCGGTGGCCACCTCGGTGCTGACTCAGATGGCCACTCAAAGGACAGAACTGAGCCTGCCCGTACCCTCACACGTCATCATGGCTCCACAGTCGCAGTCTGCTGGCAGATGATGTCGCACGGCGCAGACCACGTCACACAGCGCCTGGGCCGCGGAGCCGCCCCCCAACTCACAGCCGGAGAGACTGACCCGAACCGAGTCCCTGACGAGTGGGAGGCTGATAAGGATTTTTATTTCTTTTTTTCTTTTTTTTTTTTTTTTTCCAAGTGAGTTAAGGGCAGCTACGGCGCTTCTCACCCAGCCTGTACAGACCCCGGCTCCCCGCCACCACCACCGCTGCCCCCACCATGGCCCGGCCACGGATCGGGCTCTTTTCTCCATCTTGTGGTTGACAATCTGTCAACTGGCAGAGTCACCCCAGCACGCAGAGTCTCACTTTGAAAAGCACCTTGAAAGGTTGGCTTTCAGGTATCAGTTACATTAACACTAAACCTCCATGCTTGGTGGATCCCCTTGGCGCTTTCACTCTTCCAAATCCCCCCCTTCTCCCTCCTCCTCCTCCGCTCTCAGCAAAGGAAAACATAGCTCTTGGGAGGCTGTGACATTTAGTCGTGCTGTCAATGTATTTTATTTTTAACAGCATGCTGCTTCCAGGCATCTGCTCCCCCCTCTGCTCTCGCTACCTGAAACATTGCACCTTCGCACACGAAGCCTCCTTGAGCTCCGAGGTTAAAGGGATCGAGCTCCGTCTCGTCACACACTTAACTCCCAGCAACAGATTTTTTTGGATGCGATGGGAGTGTAATCGCTGTAAATGGGTTTGTGGGAGAGGGGGGGACGCGGGGCTGGGGGTAGGGGACACACACACACACACGTGTGTGTTCCTGGTGGCTTGGGCCGCGCCGTGGTTGCTGGAGAAAAGGGACCGACCGTGCCCACGGCGCCGGGGCTGCCTCCATCCTCCTCCCAGTAACTTGGTGCTGATCTGCCTCCGCTGGGACCGGCGCTGGGCGCCCCGGGAGGGCCACGAGAGGATGAGCTGCTGGCCCAGCAGGCGACAATAATGTGAGTCCCAGAATCCATCATCTGCTCCCAACTCCTCTGTACACCTCCGCAAACAAACCCCTCCATTTCCAAGGATCATCTCCTTTACACGTAACCTCGACGACCTTAATACTGGTGGCCTTAAATCACGAATTAGTTGCCTGTTCCAAGGGGAGGGAGCACGAAGTAGTGTTTCTGTTTGCCTGGGCTTTTACCTCTTCTTCGTATCTTCCGCTCCCGGTGATGGAGCAGCCGTTGCTTCCCAGCCAGAGCAAACAGAGGATTCACAGAGCTTCCAGTTCCGTAGGGCAGGTTAAAAACCCAGCCTGGATGTTGACAGATGTTTGGAATCGGGTCTGTTTTCTTGCCGGGCGGGCAGAGCACGTGCGTGTGTCTCTGTGTGATTCCTGCAGCCCCCCCCCACCGGGGCGGGCGCCTGGAGTCGATCGTTTGGAAACGGGAAGGGGCGTTGTGGGGGCTCTGAGCAGGAACCTCCTCGAACCCTGTGGAGCTGCGTCGGGCCTCGCTCTTCCTCGCCTTCTCGGGAGGTTCCCTCCTCACCTGAGCTCTCGCCCACCTCAGGTTGCACTCGCCACTTTTGAGCCAAGTTTGTTTGTCAAAGTGATTTCGTTTGGCTTATCCAGACTTGGAAGGTTTCCAGGGACAGCAAAACCCAAAGCAAAGTCTAAGCAAGAAACCTGCTCCCGTGACGGATGGGGAAGTTCAGCAGTTTGTTGGGTTGGTTTTTTGTTTTTGTTTTTTTTTTTTAAATGAATGGGCTCTGTCTTCTCCCCCTCCCCTCTTTTTCAGGTTTTTCTCCGCCATCTCGGCCGCGGTGCCGCCCGGGTTTGGTTTGTCTCCCCACGGTGCTCTGGTTTCTCTCACTCATCTTCAGTCTCCTTGGGCGTGAGCAGGGTCACTTCTGGCCTCGGCAGTTTGCACTTCTGGTTCAGATCCTGCGTAGCGCTCCCCCCCCCCAGGACCCGCCTTTTTTGTTTCTCTAAAGCTGTTTGGGCAGAGTCTCTGTGCAGGCAGATGGGTTTTTGGCTCTTGCTGTCCCGTTTCAGAGAGAGCAGCTCTGGAAAGAGGACGCGGAGAGGGGGGGGGGTGTGTTTATCACATCTTAAAGCCACATGACCGGGACTAAAAGGGTTTTTATCCGGGTGAGGTGCAGCAGGGGGGGTGTCAGGGCCTTTCTGGGGGATCTAAGGCAGAGGGTTTGAGGAGCTGCAAGATCCAGCCTGGCTTTGCTTCCTCTCATGGAGCTGCTGGTGGATGGAGGTTGTGGAGCTGCGACGACGGGGAACGGCACCAAACCTTCCGCGTGCTCCAAAAAGGTGTAAAAAAACCACCCGTCCTGCAGCCAAGAGATTTGCTCTGGTCTTCAAATCTGCTCCGTTGGCTTCAGGGGGGCTTTGAAATAAGTGTCTCGCTCTCTCTCCCTTTGTCTGGGAACAGCAGGAATGACAAAAATGTGTTGTAAACATATTTGCTTCATCCCCCCGGCAGCCGTTGGGTCCCTGTCCCCTGGCGCAGGGAGCGAGCAGCAGCGCCGGCAGCAGCTCACCAGCTCCTCCTAGGCTCGCCCAGCGGGCGGCTGTCGAGGAAAATGTTCGTTGGGAGAAGACAGAAAGGAAGGATCGAGCTCTGGGCTCATCCCTGGTTGGCGTCAGGGTGCGCGTGTGGGGGTGAGGCAGAGGCGAGGAGCAGCCGGTGGCTTTGCTGGCGCAGGGTGACAGCGGAGAGCCCCCAGATTGGGGACGATTTGAAGGCAGCAGCTTCGCCGAGTCTTTCTTTTTACCCTTAGGGACTCAAAGCCACCCAATTCTGTGGGCCCGGAGAGCCGAGAGGGCCCAGCCTGCTGCGGACGAGGGGGACGATGCCGAGAGCGATTTTTCTCCCCATCCCTCGGTGCTCCTGGTGCTGCCCCACTCCAGCACCCCCCCACCACCACCTCCTGCGAGTGCTTAGTGCCTTGAAAAACG